GAATATTTGTACCTGCCAGTATGCCCAGATCAATTCTTAACTGATGTTGGATAGGTTACTTGTTTCTTACTTGTTTCTCAGAAAGACCAGGAGAGCTTTGATTGGTTACAACCCAACTTTGTCTACATTAGGGTATAAACTCCTTCATATTTTAGAGTGTAAGAGTCCCTTTGTCCTGCTATCACCTAAGAGATATTTCTGTCTTTAAACCCCCTCCAATATCGTACTTCATGCAGTCCTCTATCTGCCTGCCTCTTTGCTTTCACAGCATTTTCCACCTTTAGCTGCTCATTCTTACGCAGAGTACATACTTTTTTGGAAACACCGCTTTAACAAACAGTGATAAATTGTGAGGTGCCAAGACAATGGAAGCAAGCTAGAGACTCACAGAAGTGGTAAACTGTGATAATAAATGGAAGATAGAAGTTATTTAGTAGAATTTATTTTGCACTGACTTATCGTGGCCCTGTCACTGTCTCTGCTGAGACAGCTGGATCCCCCCTGCCCCCAGTATAAGAAAAGGAATGCCTCAAACAGGAGAAACATATACCCCGGCCTTTAGATACAAGGTGGAGAGCAGAAAACTTTCCCCTTGCCTGTTTTTTCTCAATTGAATTGAGCTCAAAATGATCCCATTATACTTATCACTACTGACCTGTGCTTATAAAAATCGTTGCAATGGTTACTTTTTACACTATATTTATATATTACCTTATAATTTTAAAAAGAGATCAAAGCCATAGCTTCAGAAAATTAACTCACATAAGAAAATTTAAGAGACATAGTTCAAGTTTAAATAGTGTTATGCAGCATGGGTTCTGCCTAAAGCAATACTTAAATGTGTTCGTAAGAACATGGCTACACATTTTTATTCTATTGCATATTTGAAAGAAAAAGAATGGTGCATCAGCATTATTACCCCAAAGAAATAATAGCTATAATTTTTACATTCATCCAATGCAAACACACAAATATTCTTATACACCACTTGTAAAATGGATAGTGAAATTAGTTCTACAGATGAACACATATACCACAATATTAAAATGTTATTATGTTCACAGGCAAAATTTTTGCTAGTATTTGCAAGCTATGGTAATTCTCAAATTGAAAAGAAAAGATGTGGAACAAAGATCAAAAATCCAATTAATGTTCTCATTTTTTATTTCTTCTTTGTGCAATAAATGCTATACTTATCATATTTTAATTTACAGGAAAGGAAATTCATATAAATGGGCAGGTACTCAAGAGACTGAGCACAGAAGTGAATATACCATAGCTTGCTTTTTATTTTGTATAGTAAATAAATTCTGTCCTTTGAGAGCAATTTACTCAAAATTTGTGTTCTATAGCATTTTTCCACTAATAACAAAAGTTTGCTAAAATATTTTTCTCTTTATTGGCTTGCAAGTGTGCAGATGTATGAAGCAGTTATTTGATCAATACATAAATAGCTGAAATAAATTTCCTATTTTCTCTGTGTTTCCCTGATGAAATATATTTAGATACCAGATGCATTATAACCTTGAAACAATTCAATACCAGTATCTGAAGTGCCATGAAATGTCTGACTACAAGTAAATATAAAGAACTTTAGAATTCTGGTTTAGTTGCCTATAGCTTTTGAAAGAAACATTTATCCAATAATTACTGTCAACTTCTTATCCAAAAAGAAATGCAAGGAGCAGAGGGAGAAGTTTGTAGCTTCAAAAGTTTCCAATAATTCAAACCAAGAAGTAAGGACAAAGGAGAATTCCACAACATAATAATGTCTATAAAAGTAGAAAATATTTTACATGTATATTTCATTAAGGCAAAATATATCATTTTCATTATTTTTTCAATCATATATGACAAAAAATATCATAATTAGTCATATGTCTGTGTGTATCATATCTCTAAACTCCCACATTTCAAAGCTGTTATACATGTTTTGTCCTCTCAAGACTAAGCTTTCAGTTAAAAAATAAGGATTTGCTCACTGGTTGAGCTCACTGGATTTGCTCACTGATTAGTTTAATTAGTGAAAGGCAACTTGCGCTTAGAAAATGTATCACTTGGCCAAGATGAAACACTAAGTTATAGAGTCAAATCTTAATCCTCTGTACTTTTTTCCATATCAAGAGAATTTCTGCCACTTTTACTTGAACATTTTCTCTCTACAATGGCATTTTGTTCTCCCCATTTGTTTTCCACATAATGGAATGCAGTAGACCATGGGTCATGATCATAGACTTCCTACTTTTTTTTTTCCTACCTCCTGCAAAGCTAAGCAGCACAGGTTAACATTGGCTACTAAAATGCTCACAATGATGTATGCTGCCCTAAGGGGGAGCATTCCAAAATTTACTCCAGGTTTTCCTGATATTTCATCACAATTGTCTCCAAAGGAAGTTCTTTGACTAGTCTGTTTCCTGTGAGAAGATGGAATATTTATTTATTTTTATTATTCTGAACATATTTCCGATATTTTTACATTGATATTAAGCCAAAATGCAGCATTAATCTGCTAGGACTATTCCTGGATTTAGTCAAAACAGTTTAAAGGTATATTATTGTAAAATATATTTAGATATTTGAAAGAATTCATTGTGTAGGTGATTCAGGCACATTCTCAATATCAACTCAGGTTTTCCATGGAAACAAAATAAGCTTTTGTAAAACTGCCTATGTTGGAATCTACTTTTAACATCTTTACATAATTCATACACTTCTTCATTTCACTGTGGTTAATTTAATGTGCTAATCTGTTTTTTCCTCTCTCTAGGGATCAAATTGAGCATCTCACTATACAACTGGACTACACTCCAGTCTCCATCACATTTTTAAAGATACAATTACCTAAATATTAAAGTTTAACAGAGTAATAAAAGTTTAGAAACTTTAGATAAAATAATTATTAAAATATCTCTGTAACTATTAAATGAAATTTTCGATATTTGATTTATAAGGAGTTTTTCAACATTAACCATCCAAAATGGCTTGTAGTCATCCCCCATAACTTCATACACTATGATTCATCTAGCAATTTGGAAGATATTTCTGGTTTCTTTTTGATGACACCCACTTTTGGTGTTTCAGTAAAATAAAATAGAAAAAATAGTTATTTTAATATTATTTCAAAAAGTGTTGGTAAAGTGTCAAAATTCAAGCAATAATAACCACAGTAAAAATGGCGTGTATGTAATTTTTATGCTAAGTAATTTAAATCCTTCATTTACAAATGTTGAATGGTTCCACAGTGTGAGGCTTGATCACTCAAGCATTGAGTTGCTAAGTGATTCCTAAATTCTTAAAACAAGAAATACCACTGTCCAAAAACACTTGAAAATTTTGTACAATTAAGATTTTGCTATTATTTTCCAATCTATTTATCTGTATTAAATCAATTCTTACTTTTTTACTTCTAGATCTGTTATAAAATTAATTACAGCTAAACTATTGTTTCAAATTTTAAAAGATTATTTGTATAGTTTTTTCTGAATATATTTGCATCATATGTACCCATTTTATCACACCAGGGCATACAAAACAAAGTAATAAATGCACCAATATTAAGCAATAAATCAGCTAAAGTGTTAAGGATTAATTCTGTATTAAATCCATTCTTACTTTGTTAATTCTAGATGTGTTATAAAATTTAATTACCTTGAATTATGATAGCTAAACTGTTACTTCAAATTTTAAAAGATTATTTGTATAGTTTTTCTGGATATATTACCATTATATGTACCCATTTTGTCACACCAAGGCATATAAAACAAAGTGATAAATGCAAAAATATTAAATAATAAAACATCCAAAATGTTCAAGATTAAAGAATATGCATGCGGCATAGCATTTAAAATGGCATTAATACACGCAAGCATAAACTCAACACTATATGTAAAGTATTCTTTATATTTCAAATCAAGTTTGTTTGATAGAGAAAAATGTTTTTCTCTAGAGAATTGTTTGTTTTCTAGACAAAAATGTTTTTTTTTTTCCCTCTAGAGAATTGTTTTCTAGAGAAAAATGTCCATAACACGTATTTATTTTTGGTATTTTAAAAAGAAATCCATCAAGCCATACAGTGTTATGAGAAATCAGTCATTTAGCCACTTAGTGAATCCTGAAAATAATCATCCTTGGTATCTCACTAAGGATTTGGTCTTATTTGAAGAAACTTAGAAAGGAAAAATATATAATTTAATAAATCTGATATTAGTAACATGACATAATAATGTGAGACAAAGGTAAAAAACTTAATTATGATTTTACTGTACATAAAGACAATCATTACATGCCTTACATGGAAGTGTGTAGTGAAATACACTTGTAAACTCAAGAATTTTCTAAAATCTAAGAATATATCTTTTTTAATAGAAATTCTCTTTACAAAGAATATACAGTAAGATAGCAACATTAAAACTAAAGTATTCTGATTTATTACATACAAGTAAAATATATTCAACTTTTTGGAGCATAAATTACAACAAAGGATAAATTGAATTTGTCATCATTTTTCATGCAGTATTATTTCCAAATGATTATTTTGTTCACTGCTGATAAATATGGCAATAATATATTGTGGCATACATTGCTAGAACCAAATTACATTGGGTAATTTTTAAAGGGTCAAGGAATCATAAAGGTAATTGGGTATTTTTATGCTGCAATAGTACGGCACATAATTTTTTAAAACAAAGTGTAAGACGTATCATGTGCAGGCAAGTAAAGAATCTGTTAAAAAATATCTTCTGTTTGATAATGGAAAGCCTGTGTATTGGGCCTGTGGATTCTATTGTTTTTGCAAGTAACAGATTTTGTCTGTTACATGAAAAAATTAGTTCACATCTCCTAGCATATGCACACATAGCAAATTCCTGCTATATAATAAATGCATACTGGTAAGAAGCATGGAGTTATAGAATTAATATAATCTGGGTTAACTGAACTTCTGAGGCTCTGAAATAAGAGAATCAGTAATAAACAAGATCATAGCACACACGTACACTCACCCTTCTAATCTTACATCCGGCAGACTTCTATTAAGGGCAATCAGATCGCTGGCCATAAGATTAAATTGATTGATTTTAAATAGTTCTTTCATTTTCTCTTGATCATCTTTAGGAATCAGCACAGCTTTTCCCATTTCTCCTGGACCTTCTTGGTTTCTTGAAATAACAGCTGTAAGACATACAAAGGTACAGACACATACAAACACAGAATAAACTGAATAAATAAACTCCTGAGGTCTAGTGTTGTATACTATCTTATAATGTAATCATCCTGACAGTTGCTCATAATTCATACACTACATAAAAGAAACAATCTCTTCTGGTACATTAGCTCATTTGTACATTTTGTAGTTCAACTGTGGTCATATTATATAATCTAAAAAAGTGAATAAAAATTAGTCAGATTTTATAATCTGACCAATGATTAAACACAATGATGGGATTTTATGTTTTCGTCAGTGTTAACATTATGTTTTAATATACTTCTCAGAGACAATTTGGAACACTATAACAAATGCTATGAAATAGAAGGAGAAGGGGCTGGGGATTTAGCTCAGCAGCATAAGCACCTGCCTTGTAAGCAGGCGGTTGTGAGTTCGATCCCCGATACCAATAAAAAGTTAAAAAAAAAAAAAAAAAAAGAAAGAAAGAAATAGAAGGAGTATTCCAAAACATACTAATATTAATTTGTTTTCACAGCTAATTAAAAACAAACAGTAAAATAGAATAAGAATGTATTAAAACCAAGGATAGAACATAATCAGTGAACTTTCCTTTGATTTGGCCCTCATCAGTAATAGCATTACTGGTTCTAATACAAAACTGACCATCCACTTAGTTACTGTCCATGTGTTTATCCTGACTTTGGATGACATGAATCAAACTATGAAAGAGAATCAGTTTCTCAGTGCAATTTTAGATATTAGTAGCAGGAATGTGATTAACTTTAAACCATCTCATCCATAGAAATGTAGTAAGAGCCTGGAAATTTTTAAATGGAAAAGATATATGTCCCCAACTTCAAACTACTTAAAAATTACCATCTGTTATAATTTGTATCCTAATTTATCTCCAAGGGTCTATGTACCAAAATCTTGCTCTTCAGGACAGTGCTATGAGAAGTGTTAGAAACTTTAACAGCTGGAAACACAGAGGGCAATCCCCAGGTCCTTGGAGCATGTCTTCAAAAGAGGCTGTGGGACCCCCACCATTCTCTCCTCACTTGCTTCTTGGCCACATGTTGAGGAGTTTTGCTTTGTCACACGCATCTGCTATGATGTGCTGCATCACCTAAAGTAAGGGTGTCCACTGATCAAATACTAAAATCTCTAAAACTGTGGGCAAAATCCTTTTTTTTCTGTGTGTGAATTATTTCAGTTATGTGCTATAGTGCTAGAAAGCTGACTAGAATATCGGGTTAAAAAAAAAAGTTCACAAAGATTATCAGTCAATTTAAGAAGCAAATCTACGGCTGGGCATTTAGCTCAGTGGCTCAAGTGTTTGCCTGGTAAACACAAGGTCGTGAGTTTGATCCCCAATACTAAAAAGTTAAAAAATTAAAAATTAAAAAAGGAAATCTAGAAACAATGTCAGTAATTTTATAAGAAAGCAGTTTTTAAACTTTAAGAAATTAAATTATAAATATTAATTATTCCAGAGAAAAAATTTTCCTCTGGAGTTAGTAAGCTGAAAATTTCCAAAATCAGTTGGAATTGATGGTGCTGGTGAACTTGGGTTGTTCCTTTAGACATTCATCTTAAGGAACATTTTACCTCTAGGATTCTGGGGAAAAAATAATTCCACAGAATATGTTGAAAGAATTTCTTTGGTTACCTCAAGAGTCTTCCTAATTCTGAAATAAGAAATAATCAACGTATGTGATCTATTATATGTGATACATTGTATGTGATACCTAACAACAAACAATAATTTTCATTTTTATCTTACTCTAGACTATAAATTTAATGTCATTAAATGATATTTTCCTGGTAAAAATTTTTGAATTTTATTTTGAAACTTGAATGAATGGTTAAATAAATTGGGAGGATATTTTTGTCTTACACTGTTTAGAAATTAAGGAAGTAGTTCCCCATTAATAGCTATTTACAATGTCCTTATGAAAGAAAATCCTCCTTTATCTTCTTAAGTTCTGCTACTAGTATAAGAATTAACTTACATAAGAAAGACATGAGATACCATTTTAAATCTACATAGTATTCTTCAAAAGGAAAATGAAACCCCAAGAATTTGACCCAAAAGCACATAAACATTTTCATACAAAAGAGAATAAATTGTGGGGCTAAGAAAGAGGGATACAGGCAGAAAATTCAGGAAATTTTAGGAGCAAAATTAGGAAAATTTAGGAGCATAATTAGGAAATACCTAAAGAGCTCAAATGAAACTTTTTTCTTAAGTCCATTTTATCTCTGACTCCCTGTTTCTGGAGAAAACAATGTTCTCTTTGTTGTCTAGTTAAAAAGATATATTTCTAGAGGGAAATTTTATGACCTTTGAGGTCAGAGAGAGTAACCTGCATATGCTGTAACTTAAGTAACTTAAGTGTTTGTAGGTGAAATCATCAATATGCCGAAATTCCATATCTAGAGGTGGCAAATTCTGAAGCCTTTCATCCTCTATAACTCGGACAAAAAGACATTATGTTACAGAGAAAGAAACCATGGAAGGACAATACTCCAAAAGCTGGCAAGTAGATAGGTTTAAAATTTTCTACTCTATCAGGAAGACAAGTTGCTCAACTAGGACATTTTTGGACATTGAGATAAAGTTAAAGCCAAGATATTCAAAACAGTGAAAATTTCTTTTTAGAAGTATACAGATTATCATTTTTCAGTGGCAATACAAGTAAGTAGATCATGTACATAGAAGGAAAGATCAAAATTTAAGTCATCACAAACATTATATTCATACCTAGAAGTAGTTGCAAACACTTGTAATTATTCTTCTCAGCTTCTTAGTGGAGAATGAATAATGGCTTAGCACCTGTGTATCTCCTCTGCAGAGTTAAATGTATTTTTGGATAATTGTCTCTAGTGAATGAATATTGGACATTACATTTCTTTCTTATTTATGAGCAGATATACTGGTTTATCACTATGCTCAAGCAAAAAGGATGTTAAGTAATTGTATAGAATCAATCTTTTTTCTTTTCTGGCTCTTACCTGAAAGAATGTATTATATTAGAAGAAAAGTTTATTAGTATTAATATTATTACTAAATAGCATAAATAGGAAGTGAGGAAGAATAAACAATTGGACTATGTGGGTTATCTCAGACCTGCAGTAGCTTTCAATGATATTTCCTATTTTTCCTCACTTGTTGATTCATAGGAAAAAAGATTACCCAAATACCTGCAAAATACACTTGCTTACAGCCAAACAAAACACTCAAAATAAACTGCTGTTAAATATTTGAGGTGCTTATCTATTCTCATAGGCAACAAAACCTGCATTCTGGTTTCTTAATTGTTCATGTGAATATGGATAGGAAAGTCCTGGTTCCAACTGCTTTTCATTTACAAAAGAGTAAGTAATATATACTTCTGTAAATTATTTCCTTATTTACCATATACTGAATCATTAAGAATCATTGAGTAAATTTAAAATAACATTATAAAACTTGAAATATGAAGAGAATAAAAAGAATATACAAATATCTTTCATTTTCTCTAACACGGTAACTGTAAAATATTTACCTACATAAAATATTTAAAGAATACTTTATTCAATCTTAAAAATCCTACTGATAGCATTTAACCACAAGCATATGCACACAGCAACAAATCAATCCACTGAAAAGAAATCCATATGTTAATTTCATTGTTTACTTATAGACATTGTATTATGAACCTTCTTGCAGAATTCTTCCATTAATGAACACTACCTACTTGTAGAATGAGAAATGGACAACCCTACTCTCAGGGAAAATTTTGAAGCTAAAAATAATTAATTTTAACATATTGATTTGATTCTGTTAAAGAACATATTTTACATGATATATATTGGTAAAAAAAAACACTGATCCAAAATCTAAATAGTATTCCATGTGCCATGCATTCCAAATATTTTTGTTCAAATCATATCCATATACCAATATTCACAAAATTGTCAATTTTATTCTCATTGACACCTCTGCTCTTCTCTCATATTTATCACTTCTAGGAGTTCTGACATTACCTTCCCTACTCATTGTATATTAATATTTTGTTACAAGAAATCCATGATTTTGGTCTTATTCATCACAAATATGTGTGTCGTGGGTGAACAGATGAGGATGCTACAACCTTTGTAACAAAATAAACAGTCTCTGCTTACCATTTTCTGGGCCATGATTTTTTGACACTTGAAACACCCTCAGTTTAATAAGGTTAATTCTGATTGAAATAAGGTAAAGATTCACTTTGGACCACTTAGAAACAATAACAGTGTTTAAATTGTAGTTAACCTGTAATTTTGGAGGAGCTCTGCAAATAATAGAACCAATGATGATATTTGGCAAGCTGAATACTTTGAACTAAAGGACAACCAAGGATTTTGTCACCTTCTGAGCCTACATCCCACAAGTCTATCATCCCTACCTCCTCACAAAGCACAAAAATGTCCTTTCTCTGTCATCTCCCTACATACCTAAATTTTGTATCTCCTAAAAGATTAATTTATGGCAAGGAAGCATAGAGAGGCACCACATATAAATTTCAGATGAATTTCTGCCTCTAGTATTCTCTGGTCTTTGGGTTCATTCTCTTTCACAAAAAAATCATTTAGTCTTAAAAGTACCTATAACCTAATTATAGCTCAGCACGATTCAGAAATTCTTTCTAAAATATATCTAAGGAAATATTTTAGATCTGCTCAATGAGTTACCTGAATAGATAAAAGTTAAGTGTTTCTACATTTATGAAAATATTAACACATGTTAATCATATATATGTAAATGATAACTAAATTGTTATATCACTAAATGAAAACTATGCAGTAATTAAAGTATGATACAGAAGAGACTATTTAATGAAGTGGAAGAAGTTCATGTTTTGTTCATATGAACAAAAAGGTCAAAAAACTATGCTATAAAGCAGTTCCATTTTTTTCAAAAGTTAATCTACATAGAGTGCAAATGAAGATATCAGTGATTCATTAAATTTGAGGATGCTTG